AACTGAAATGTCTATATGTCTTTTGACGGACTGTGGGTAACTGAGTGCTGTCTCTAGGGACTCTGTGTACAATCCCAGAGCTTACCTGTTCTAGTCACAAGATGTAGCCTGACACTATGCAGCGTAAAAGACAAGGGCCCCTTCAAAACACACTCTCACGTGTTAACAAGTCATGAAAACTTGTCGACAGATGCAAGATAGTCGGCGTGTGACACCTGCTAGGTGTAAGTCCTTGGCCCTGGGAGAGATCTGATCTGTTTAAGTCTAAACGAGAACAAGGTCTCGGGTGTTCAGAGAAGCACCCACCGAAGCAGGCACGGATCAATAGTCCTGCCCCCCTTGAATGCCTTCGCTTTTGAGAGGAATCATAACGAGACAAAGGCTGAATTATTTAGTGCTGCTCCCTGTTGTGTGACGGGTTTCGTTTATGATTGATCATGAATTTTGCATGGCCGCTGACATTTCAAAAATCCTTGCTATGGGAGAACTGTCAAGCTGGACTGGGCTCGTACTCGGCAAACAGTCCTTTTGTTTCATCCGAGTGCCGCGGGACCACGTCTGACACGACGAGCTTTGAAAAGGGTGGCCCTGATCGCCATATCACTTTTCATAAAAACAGAATGCTTCACCTCCCTGCGATCTCTTGAACTTTTATTCTGCTGCTGAGCGCGACTCGTGATCAGGTTAACATGGAATCCCTCTGTGAAAGGGGGACAAATTCATTACCTCGGCCTGACACAAAGACACTTTGTCTGGCTCCACCTGAGGTCTAATCCTGGGATCACCTACAGCATGTAGCCACGCATATAAACAGCCTGCACTCAGTCTTTGTTGACAAGAGCCAGAAGTGTCTGTTCACGTGTAGAACAAACAAGACATGACAAACAGTGCATTCAGAGTTTCTACTCTGTTGTCACTGGCAACCAATGAAAACTGATACTGACCGTTTGGTATTAATATTGATTTTAAATGAGCAAAAGCTTTAAAATGTTGAATTAGTTTCATGTTCAGTTAAAAAAGTCATCTATTTGTAAAGACTGGAAACTGTACAAGCTTGGAAGTGAAGATAATACACAACAATTAAGTGGTGCAGTATCAAACCAAGGCGCTTTTGTGAATTTGTTTTTCAATACAACGACTGGAAAGTATTTCTATTCTAAGGTTCCACGCAACTGTTGTGGTCATGGGATATTTTACCTCATTTGACTTGAAGCTCTTTCCCTGCATGCCATGTTTCCAGAAGGCCAAGACGCTGTCCTGAAGGCACACTGTCAGAAGATAAAGGTAAGAGGCCATGTGTCAGTGCATAACGGTCAATGCAGCCACTGAAAACACTGCCAACTTGATTAAGTGGAACAGTTCGGTTTGACTTGACAAAAAGCTCTTTTGTAAATACAATAAGAAACTCTGCCAGATATACAACTAGTTTTTTCTGTACACCTTTCAGCTCTTCATGTTGGGAGTTTTCCCTTTAAAAAGGTATTGAATTTTCATTTAAAACATTGTACGGTCTCACACAGAATCATATGTATATGTACCTCTATTTCTTTACACAGACTGTAAATCCAACAGCCGTCTAAAAGCTTACCAACAGATCCGATGCAGAAGTCAAAACTGAGCTCAGATGCCAGCTTCTTGTTGGACTTCAGTCTGCCCTGGAGATTAACAATCTTCAAATTTTCTGTGGAGAAAAATAATAAAATGTCTGTGAGAATGATGTTACAGAACATAAATATTTATATCTGGACTGAAGCTGATGAAGAGAGATTGTACTTACGGTCCAAACACACCAACACTGTGTCTCTCTCCAGTTGGGTGACATGGATTGCATCCACCTGCTGATTAGCTGCAGGAAGGAAAAATACAACAGTTACAATCCTCCAACATCTCCAACAATCTACCATGTGCAATGTAGTTCTTAGAAGTAATACCATTTTTTTTATTAGATACTGTTATTACATAACACTGTAGTTTAGTAAACCTTTTTATTGGCCTGTTCCAGAGTTTGATTTGTTTAAGGTCAGAGGAAGCAATAGCACAATATTTTAGGTCTCAATAGATGAGAGTAAACAGAAAGTTGTGTGTCGTATGTTGTGCCTGGTTGTTCGAACTGCACAAAACCCGTTCAACAGACTGCTGTATTTCACATGATACCAAAGACAAACCCATAAAGAAGTGAGGCTGCATTGCTTTCTGTGGAGGCTCCTGACAATAAACAAACTGGTTTGTGCAGAAGTAATGTATTCCACCATATCTCTACAAAGTCTCTATGGTGTGTCTCTGTATTGAATTCATGGTGTTTGTCTCTACATGCTGGACTTACTTGTTCCCATCTCTGTGAACCAGGAGGAGCAGGAGTTGAGGTTGATGGTCTCAAAGCGGACCACCTGGCTCGGCTCTGTGCCCTGGCTGATGGCCACACACACCAGAGGATACTCCTGCTCTGGGACCACCAGCATCTCAAACACCTTCAGTGGGCTGGGAAGAGGGAAGTCAAAGTGCTGCCGCAGGAAGAACACAGGGGTTAGTGTCAATGGTGCTCCCATTGTTGATGCTGAAAATGTATTTTGTAGCATAAGGCTACTGACACTTTGCTACAGGAGCAAGGAGCTCAGTCAGTTTAGTAGTGTCATTCCTTGGGACTACATGGCTACAACAGATGTGCCTTTGGAAGAAAAAATATATACTACAACCTTGTAGTAAAAACATGTAGTCTTACTAGGAACATTTGTGGAAGAACAGTAATGTCTACAATGAGAAAAGTAAATAGCCAACTGACCTTGATGAGCATAAACCTCTGCATGGGCTCATACCACTGCAACAGGACAATCCCAGACTGCAGCGCACCACACAAATACTTGTGGCCTGTGTATGGGTTTCTCACTGTGAAATAGAAAAGGAGAGTGTAGCTCGACTGAGTGATGTCCACTAATGAAAAAATTAAAAGTCATAAAGGGCTTCAAGATCAAAAACATCGCAACAAAGTAAACGGGGCATGCTTTGTGTGGAGATGTTCCTTGTGTATTGACACAGTTTAATATGATGGAAGGGGGAGTAAATAAAAACGAGTGGTTGGGAGGGAAAGGTTACTCACCAATGCAGCACTTGTGACAGCCCTTTGTGTCAGGGATCTTAGTTGTCAAGGCAAACCTCCTGAGGAGAAAAAAAAACAGTCAAGTTGTTGTGACCACAATCTTGAAAGAGCTGATGACGTCTAGAATCGGGGAAGTTGGCCAGTGGTTCTCTTTTTTTTCTGCCACTGCAGTCGTTTATCATGATGGTAGACAGTGAAGAACAAAAAGTCTGCACAGCATGAGTTTAGCAACATGCTTTAAGAATTGTGACCTTATCACAAAAGTGACAGGAGTGCTGCTGAAACGTGTGGTTAGAGATGAAAAGATTCAGAGGTGTGGGTCTCACCTGGGTAAAATTTTGTCTGGGAAGCGGTGAGTCTGGAACTGAGCAGCCAAGCCGGGCTTCTTCAGCTGCTCAAACAGCCCGATGAGATTGTGGGAGTACAGCTGGAAGGTTTTCCCTAGAGCAGAACAGAGTATATTTAATCATAAGCTTTATGAGATAAAACAGTGTATAGTGTAGAAGTAATCAAAGCCAAAATAGTAATCTTAAACACGACAGACAAGAACTGAGTAAACTTTCTTCACACTATAAATATTTTAAACATAGTTGTGATCTTTTGAACAAATTCTGAAGCAGCCCTTACATGTAGAAAGGTTAGATGTGAATAGGGGTAAAAACAGAAGTGTGATGATGATGTGAAGCATGATTACCTTCTGATGAAGCCAGTTAGTAGAATATCAAATCAAGCCAGGCGAGAGCAGGATGGACAGTGTCCAAGGGAAGAGGAGAAGAGAAAAGAGGTTAAGTATACCAAGGGGCAAACTGCTGAAGGTAAAACCGAAAGTAGACCTCGCACTTTGTAATCCCATACTCAACAGTTAAACCGAGAAAAGGCTATCGGCGACGAGGTCAGCCAAACAAAGACAGTTTGGTTTCAAATGATAGATGTTTTGAGTTTTCTGACAACAAATAGCATGTCTGTTTAAACGTAGCAAAAAAACTACACTCGCCTTTGCAGCTAGTATACATTGTAACCTATAGAGATCAACATATATGAGCTGTGAAGCCAGATGTGTGAGTCACTGTGCTACAAGGACACGGCTCTCTCATGGCAAACAAAAGAAACAGTTATTTTAGGGCTGCAGATATGGAGTGACTGTCTTGCCCTCAGGGGCAGCCAGATAACACAGAACAAAGAAGCAGTAGGTTATGACAGTGGCCAGTGAAGCAGGAGGTTGTGATAACTCCATTACTTACCAGATAAAGACATCAGGTTGTTGTTGATAACGTACAGCCACGTACACTTCCTCGGGAACAGCTAAATAGGGAATTAAACAAAGATGGGACATTGGCCATAAAGTTGAACATTAGTTCTCAAAGGAGGGAGGGAGAAGTAGTGGAATAACATCAAATGACCCTTTGTTTCCCTCCCGTGAACAGAAACTGTCTAATCATAGCTTAAAGTCGAGGCGCTTTGTATAGGGCTGCAGTACTCTGTTTCTGAAGAGTATGGAAGGTTTTTTTCATAACCAAATGCACAAAAAGGTGTCATTTAATATGTAAATAATGGATTCAACCGTGAGTTTGTCTGCTTTACTATAAGCTGCAATCATTAGCTAGCTTACTACCTACAGTAGTAATCGGGTGTTCCAGGGCCAAAGAGCATAACAACACTATTTCGAGGTGTTACAGATCATGTTTTTAAAACATTTACTGTTTAGTATTTTCCTGTCAGATCCTGCTGTCAAAATCTGCCAATGACAGTTCATCCAGCAAGATCATAAAATTAAGGACACACAATAATTAAAAAGGCCTAAAAATGTATTGAGTGGTAAATTTGCAAATGTTATCACTTTAAACTGTGTTGTGCCAGAATGTTTGACAGGCAGTAGCAGTAACTATGGGGGTACGGGGCTTATATATATATATATACACACACATCACACACACAGTTTAACAGTAACTCATTTTTATTACAAATACTGGTTCTAATAATTGTTTTTAGATTGATTTTAACTGCTGTTACCTGCTCCATTGTGGCTTCATGCAGCTCATTAAGATTCAGCGTATAGATGCCATCCTCTGTCCCAAAGATTAGGTACTGATCTAGAAGACAAGACATATATAAAATTAAGCATTGTCCTTCATTAAAACACATTAATTCTGTGTGTTTGTGTACCACACTTGTTGCATGAAGCTATACCTTTGGTGTCAGGATGAATCCATGATGTGGCACAGTTGATCTTCAGGGGACAGCCATCAAACACTTTAGAGAAACAGGCTCCCATCTGAAATGAAAAGCAACATGGCTCAGAACAGGCAGTGTCTGGCTCAGCGTAGCACTAAAATGTCAGCCAGGGTTTAATGAGCTGGAGCTGGGCTGAGCAGAAGCAACCACAAAGCAGAAAGCTCTGTGGACCCCAAATATCTACTGAATGCACAGCAGCAGCCGGGCAGAAAAAGAGTTTAATAACAGTGCCCATGAAACCAGGTCAGCAGGGAAGAGTGAAGACTGATGTGCAATGCAGATGATTCACTCACCAGTACTTTAGGAGTGGGAGGCAGACCGTTGATAGCTGGTTTCTAAGGACGAGCAGAGGAAACAAAAAAACATAAAATAATGTCAATGCAGAACACAGACAAAGCAGCGACAATTCAATTGAATTTAGCTGATTAATTTAGCTCCTGCCTTAACAAAGAGCTGAACAAAAAACAATATGGACTGTTTTCTATTGTGTTCTGTCAAAGTCAATTAAATGTTCAACATGAGCGGATGCCAAATTTCCCTCTTTAACGGTCAGTGTTTGGATCTGACAAGGGAAAAACATCATATTTGAGGTTTCAGTGCAAAGTCAGCCAGCTAGTTGGAGACACTCCACATATAAAATAGAGGCTCTTAGACCACAGATTTTCCTTTAAAACCCACTGTAACTAAAGATGAGAAGTGTGGATGATTGAAATACATATTGCAAAGCAACATGTGGTGGAATATCTTCAGACTTACAGGGAATTCCTTTTTCTCCTTCCGGTGCTGTCGGTTGGGTGGTGGCTTGGGACTGCCTTCATTCACACTGTCATCTGAATCATTATCTGTCACGAGAGAGCAGGTAGATGAAAATAACATTTGAGGCACAACTATTAATCACTAATCAATAATGACTGTCAGCCACGCAGAATCTAAATGCAAAGATCAGACACATTTACTTCAGACTCCCTTACCTTTACATTCAGATTTACTGAGAGCTTGTAAAAATAAAATAAGAGCTCAATTAGAGACCCACTTGATTAAAGAGAAAGGACACAGGTGTATGAACAGTATATATTGTAAATTCAGACAGTACAAATTAGCAAAGAAACAGTGAGACTCACCAGGATCAGAGGCGTGAGACAAAAGGCCGGGGCTGCTGACGCTGGCAGAAAGGAAATCTGGAGACGAGTGCTCCCCCTTGTTGCCCTGCTCAGGTGTGCTCTGTCTGCGAACCGCCTGGCCTGGTCCGTTCTCAGAGTTAGGGAACCTCCGAACCGTCAGAGACCTCTCATCGTTAAGGCCAAGCTCCTCTGATGAGCTGTTCAATCGTGGCTGAGAGGAGACACGGTGGTAAAGGGAAAGAGTGAAAGCAGTTTGGTGTTAATTGCTGTACATAATTGCAAAAATCCATACAGTTAAAAAAAAATACGTCTTGATTTTGGGTCTCACCTTTGGGGGCAGAGGAGGAGGATTCCCTGGCTTGAGGGTTGACCTGAAATGGAGTAATTATTTTTTTAGAAACTAGAGCAATAAATGTTTTGTGTCTATGATGTAATCTTAATGTATTGACATCACTCACAGCTCCACGTCTTCAAAGGCATCTTCAAGATGGGCCATGTGTCCCCTGCAGGAAACAGACACAGTAATCAGTGCGGGAAAAAAAAGAGACTCATCAGAGCTCAGGTTAATGGTCCAAATGTTTATGTAAAATCCCTACTTAGAGATAAAGAGAGTATGACTCTAAGGAGAAGAACGGGGGTGTTTTCATTCTGTTACTGATCACTAGTGAGCATCATGGGATGGAAACTAGGAAAAATACATTTCTAGAGCTGAATTAAAGGTATTTTTTACTTCAAGCAAACATCTCTTTCTTTTATTATTTAGAAATCTAGCTTCGAAGCCTAGGGCTTTTACAAAGTTCTTAGAAGGGTGCCAAAAGTATTTAGACACCTATCAGTACACAGGTTTTAAAACAGCAACGGACATTATTGTACAGCCCGTGCATGTTTCTACGTAACACTGCTCTACCTGCCTGCGGCTCATGTATGAAGCAATATGCACAGATTGAATCTACGGCTATGATCACACCACACATGTTGAATGGAGGGGTGTCAAGGGAGAGTTGATTTGTGGACATGGTGGGTGCTAAATCTCACTGCGAAAAGGGTGGGGACCAAGCGAGGGGTGGAGTGGATGGCATAGGGTAGTACAGCACACAAGGTTAGTGTTACCGTTGGAACAATTCGTCCTCAACGCTTTTGAGAAGGCTCCTTGGAGGGACAAGACGAGAGAGAGGCCGACAGCCAAAAGAGGACAGAGAGAGGTGGAGGGAGAAAAACAGTCAAAAGCACATGGACACGTGAGAAGGAGCCAAAGCAACATTTTAAACTGCAGATGGGGAGAGTGAGTTCATGCACAGACACAGGTTAGCTCCAGTGAGGTTAATGTGAGAGACAGTGAGGAGCACCCATAAGAAAATCTATTTACACTCTGTCAACGGTGGCTATCAGATTACAGAACACACTGACTGCTTTG